AAATCATCTCGTTTACAGAAAATATTTGTTTGCACTATTAGTTGGTACTGGAGTTAATTACTCAATGTGTTAACGTGAAGTAATATGTATAAAAGTAGGATCAGTGTTTATTGTGTGGGTGAGCTGTTGAGCGGTGCTTGAATAAACTGCAATTAGGGTTAGATAGAGATTAATTAACATGTGAGTGGCAAGGTGTAAAATAGTTTCCAACCCTCCACTTCAATATAATCTGCAGGCATGGGAAGAGAAGTTTGTGGAAGCTAATTAAATACTTTCATAAAAGCCAGTGTATTCACCCAACATTTGGAAAGAGAGGCACATTAGGGGCAACTTGTTTTTACCCAAATGTTTTCTTTCTGTGGAGGTAGCACTCCTTTGTGGTGCCGGGGAGAGAGATGGCTTATGCAGTTACAGAAAGCGCTGGGGATGGCAAGGCAGGTTCCTGGGAAGCCTTGGAAAGCCTTTCAGCTTCACCGAGCGTTCAAACCAGCAGCTCTCTCAGGCTGTTGCCGAGATCAACAATCACCCAGTTTGGAAAGGGGGTTGGGGTACAGTGCTGGTGGCTGAATGGGACTCACGGGAATTCAGGTTTTGAGACCGGTGTGTGTACTGATACTGTTTCAATGTCAGGGTGAGTTGTTGGCTTGTTCCTTGTTTGGTGGCGGTGGCGGTGGGGGTGTATCTGTGGGGGGAGGGTTTCATCTGTGTTCTTGCTTTCACCTTAACGTAGGGATGGGGGTACTGGGTCTGGAGTTCTGCCTCTCTGAACATCTAAATTACATGGGCTGTCTGGAAATGTCCTCCAGGGGAGCAAGCCTCCTTTTAGCTTTGAAATCCGGAAAGGGGGGGAGGTTTGGGGGAAACAGACTCATGACTGCTGAACTTAGGGGTACTTTCTGAGCTTGGCAGGGTGAGAATCTTAACCCACCAATCACCCTCTGGGCCACTTTCCCTTGGAGACCTTTCTTCCGTCCTCCTCCTTGCTTTCCAAGTACACTTTTCCTTTGCCTTACCTACCATATCGATTCGATATCCTGTCTGAAAATACACTCAGAGGATGAGTGGGCAGGAAAGAGAAGTTCTGCAGGGAAAAAGGAGTGATCTGCCTGAATTTCAAACTAAACGTTTCTTTGTCCGTTTCCCTGGTGGCTTCCCTGCGGTGTTTTGCAGCAGAGGCCTGGGATGGAATATTCGGCTCCTCCAGACCTGTTCTTGAGTGAAAAGGGAGAGAGGGGCTGTGTCCACCAACAATTTCTTGAGCTCCACAAAGTCGTGTGTCTTTGGGGATGGAATTCACTATCAAACCTTCAACCCAGTTTGCTCATATTATACCCACCGTAATCCTCTTAAACTCTGGTTGCGGCTACAAAGCTGGTGGTCTTGCAAAAAGCCGGCTGGCAAGATATAATTGTTCCACAAACAAAACCATCCAAAAGTTTAAAACAACGACAACAACCAAAAAAAAAAAACAGGCACACACACCCCCTTTCCTAAATCTAATTCTCTCCCTGGCTCTCTTGCTAGCCCTCCCCCCGCACATAAGCACCCTCAGCCTCGACCACTTTTGTTGTGGCCAAGAGGACCCGTCCTGTTTAAAGTGCTGGAGCGTCTTTGAGCAGTTTGTTGTGATACGCAGGTGGAATGGTCTGCAAACAGATGAATTCAGCCCCTCCAAACCGAGCTCGGAGCGCGCTGCTTTTGTGCGCCAGGCACAAAACGCTGAATTCCTCCGAACTTAGTTGGGGCCTGTCTAGAAAAGGGCCTTTTCTTCCCTCTGCTTGTACCTCTGGCCACACTAAGTCTCTCCCGCCCCCCTCCAAGCCCCCTCC